GATAAATTCTAGCTTTATTTCTCAGTAAGTACATATTTATAGAAAAATTGACCTTTCAAATAATTCTTAGCTATTTGATATCAGTTAATTTGAGAGGTTTTAGTTGCAGTCTTTTTTATTTGCAATGAGGTTTTTGCAGTATTTTATTGGACTATTTTGTCAAAGAATTCCTGATGAAAGGCAAGTTTCATGATCTTCACAAGTTCAGGGGTTCATTTTATTAATCTTATTTTCTTATAAAATAAATGCACAACCAGATGAGGATAGCTTTGACAATTGCAGGATTGCAAGAATATCTCCATGATGAGATTTTTGTATAATTCTTATGATTTTCATTAACAGTACTTAATGAAATGGTTAATTTTCATGTGGATATTATTATGGAAGAATACATCCTTCAGAATCAAAATATTTCTCCAAACATTTTATGGAAGTGTTACATTAATCTGGGTAACCACTTTTTAATTAATGATATCAATTTAGGATCACACATCTGGCATTGTAAATTCCCAAATTCTCATTTTAAATTATATGTTATTTAGTTCAAATATTATTTATGTATATTTCTACCTACTAAAGTTGATGCCATAGTGTTGAAACTGAATAGCTACTGCCACCAAGGTTATTCTATAGGGATTTATTCAGCAATCTCAGTTTAAAAAAAAAATTATCTACCTTTTAAAAAACTTGATACAGATAAAAGATTGTGGCCAAAATGTTACCAATTGTGAGAAAATGTAGGTTATCTCATCTTCATTGAATTGGAAGTTCTGAATTGCTGATTTGCTTTCCACTTGAATTTTGTAAATAATCATCTATAAAATCATAATTTGCCCACTCCCCTTACAAATTTATTCCACACCCACTGACATTTTGACACTGTCCCTCAGAACCAGATTATCCTTTTTTTGACAAAATCAGTCTTAGACTATCTTATCAGGAAACATTTTTACAGGAATAATCTGAGGGATCTCAGCACATCAGTCAGCATCCATTATGAAATATTAAAATACTTGAATCAGAATTATAAAAAAATGTGAATTTTGCACCCATCTGATTGAAAAATTGTGATAGAACGGTGCATTTTTCACCAATTGGTCCAGTATCTTGGGTTACATAAAATGAACAAAATACTTGTTTTTTCTTATAATAGTAACAATCTAATAATTACTTTATTTCCAATAAATACTCTTTTGACTATAGTAGAACATAACAACATGTTGCTTCATAGAAGGCAATAGTCAAGGTAATGTCCATCATATCTGATCACACTGTGAGCTGTTTGCAGTATCATGAATTTATAAGGGGCCTTAATGTATGAAACACAGTATCATGAATTTATAAGGGGCCTTAATGTATGAAACACAGTATCATGAATTTTTAAGGGGCCTTACAGTATGAAACAATGTTATGATCTACTCATATACCATTGATGTATTGAATGTAGAAACCCCTTGTTAATTAATAATACCAAGAATGCCTCACAGTATGATTGAGGTGTGGAGTATGGACACTACCCGGGAATATTGGTAAACACAAGGTAGAATGTTCATGGTTTTAGCTAATCAATATAGCTTTGGAGGTATTCTGAAATTGAGTTAAGGGGTGTTAATATCCAATACATGCACATATTGTTGAATGATCACTGATCAGGTGATGATATCTACCCATTTCAAAAGCATACGAACCTGTCACTCTGAGGCAGTGTTATATACTTGGACCCAAAAAATAACATCCTGCTCCTAGCAGGTGTCCAGAATTTTGGAGCCCTGCATATGGAGGATAAAAAAATAACACAGATCAAACAAAAAAACAGGGATATTGTTTTTTACATGATCCCCTACAATGAAAAAAGGACGTATTATCTCCAAAACTATATGACATATGAGTTTTTGATAGTTTATTAATTATACACACATGTTTACCTAAATAATAATCACAGATCATGAACATTTTTAAATTTTTTTTTGGTAAACATTTGTTAAGGTTATTGCTTCTATGCTATGGCACGGGGTCAAGTATATAACATTACCTTACCACTGTGAATATGTCTATACATGAATAATATGTAAAATATTGTTCCCTCGTAACAAACCTTTTACTTCTAAGATAGGCGAATCAAAATGTTGAATTTTGACCAAAATATTTCAACAAAAGTAAATAAAACTTTCTGGAATTACTAAATAGACGTTTCAGTGGGAGTATAACTAAAATATTAGAAAACATATTGGTAAAGGTCAAACATATTTCATGGCAATCAATACAACCAATATACTATGTACACCCCCTCAAAAAGTTTGGCAATTGGAAGTTCTTAAGGGCCAATGCAATAAAGCCTTTTTGTCTAGTGGTTTAAAATAATTCATCAAAGTCAGAAATGTCTGACCTATTGTAAAATGAGAAACTTGCGAAATGTTACCATCTGCCATTTGTTATAGACACAGACTGGCGACCGCCATCCACTAAGAAGTTCCATTTCTGATGGTAACATAACATAATAGGGGTACCAATGAACATCAGATCTCAATGGGGAATTCCAGTTGCTAAACTTATGAAAGGGCTGTAGTCATCATAGAAACAAGCCATTAACATGCAAAATGTCACTACCTGCCATTTCTTACAAACACTGCCAAACACCAACCGCTGAACACCACCACAAAAAAGTTGGAGACTATAACAATGTATCACCCCTTTTGGTAATGATATAAAAAGCACGTTTTTTGATCAACACATGTTAAAGCACCACATCTGATTGTACTGTGTATGATTCACAAATACTTGAATATACATACTGTAATATACAGCAATTTTTCTGAGATAAAGCTAATATTTACGAATTGTTATGATATTTGCCATGGGTAGATACAGTATATTGGTATAATATTCATAGATTATCCATCACATCACCATTCACTAAAGCAGTATCATATTTCGTGTCATGATGCTTTAGTCTATGGTTCCCTTGACTTAAGCCTCACTCACATTTGCTCTATGGCGGGCGTATAGTGGCCGTAGATTCACAAAATTGATATAGGCTAGAAAATCTACATTGTACTGCTTATCCCTATATCTTATGCTGCATATTTCCCGCGAATCTGGGAAGCGCAACTAACTGCCATACTGTTGCCGTAGATCAAATGTGACTAAGGCATTACATCAAGTCTGTACCCCCCCCCCCTATCTAATTCATCCATGGTATAAGGGGGTGGGGAGGTCACAAAGACTTGATGCAAGACTAATGGTTCTGCACTAAAAATGTTATTTGCTTATCAATTATATCATGTACAAAAATGCCCTGTTGCATTGTAAACTTTGACTACTACAAATAGTGATTGTACAGGACTTCCATCTATCATAAGACTTATGATCTTCATCAAACACCAATTCACACATTATACATGTTGAAGTTCTAAGTTTGAAACAAGCAAAAAATAACATGCCTATTTTTCATTTCAAGTATGGAAAAGCAATATGTCTTCATCATTTTATATTTGAAAATTCCTAGTCAATCAGACCCCAATTTTTTAGATTTGTTAAAAAACTCTATAAGATCACTTTCCTCAACATACTGTATATTGAGAAAAGTGATCATATTCTCTCCTGTAATGAATTACAAAGGTTTTACTTTATACTCTGTCAATATTGCATTCATCATTGATATGAGGTTTTTGAATATGAGTTTTTAACATATCTGAAAAATTGGCCTCTGATTGAGCGGGAATTTTCCAATATAAAAAATGATGAGACAAATTGCTTTTCCATGTGTATGAAATGACTGACATGAGCATTCTATTGGGACAATTCATGACTTGGATCTGCTCTAAGATAAACACCATCAAAATAAAGGATATTGGCATCAGAGTTTCTTTTATTTAGGAGATTTTTAAATTGCCAAAAACTGCCAAATTAATGAAATTATACATGAGTATTGTTACTGTATCTTAACCCTTTATAGTGTAGAGGAAATGAACAAATAAATTCTGAAAATTGTCTTGTGTAGTATGTTTACATACGCAGAATATACGAACACAGCACATACTATATTAAGAGCAAACCACAATATCTTATTCACCTTATTTATCTCTGGAGTAATTAAAACTATCAAAAAAGCTATAATAATGATTTGTTGTACAGTATATTATAATATCTTTTCGTGTTTCTATGGTAACATTCATCGGGTCGTGATATTCCATTAACGTAAGTGATTGTCTGCTATTAAGGAGGGTAATATGTCAGGTAATATGTCAGGAACCTGACATCAACCATATCCACTTCACACTTTAGTCTGATTTTGAATGTAATCTTGAAATCAATACGCTAAACTTGATGCAATGAGTAACAATGGTTCTACTATTCATTATAATAACAATATAAGTACATTGAAGAAGCCATGCACCCTGGTAAAGAATTGGAAATCAAATACCAAACTGTAAAAAATATGACTTCACATTGCCAAAAATGTGAAGTAATGAGACATTTTGGTCAAAATAGGTAAAATTTAGGCACCCTAAAAAAGTCTTGAGAAGATCTGAATGACCCCATAAGGTAGCATTGGGAAAATCAAACAAGGGTTAAGTTCAAATAAATATTACAATCTTGAATAAAGACCATCAATATCGTCTCATTATCTGTGACCTCATTTGCTTTTCAGTACCAGTTCATATGTGAATATATTGTATTTTTGTACTTCATGTGACCGATGTAATCATGTAATGACATGATATGCCAATAAACATTATTTACCAGCTATATACTAGGCCTATATGTAACTTCAAATTCAACAAAAATACATTTTACTCTATTCTGTCTCCACAAAAAAAGAATTCACATTTTTATGACACCATACAAATCAAGGAGGATTGGCTCTCAGAATGCAACATCGATATTCTGTCCCATATATGGTATGTGACTTTTAACCTTATTTACATGTGACGTGTTTCTGGAACCTGTCACGTGTGAATGAGGTTGAAGGTCACCATACCGTATGGGACAGAATATTGATGTTGCATTCTGGGAGCCAATCCTCCTTGATACAAATGCTCACTTGCAAATGCAAATACAGGTGCTTACTAAGAATTTGCCTATAGTGGCATGATTTCTTCACCCAGCATGCCACACTTCACTAAAATTGGTTATACCGGTAATTCCACCCATTGGGGAAATTAAACTGAAATCCACGATACGCATTTTGGATGATTAGACCCTTACAAATTAAATATATGTTTAGTATTGCCTAACATTCAAATGCCCACTAAACAGACATACTGTATACCTGTGCAGGGCCTAACATATTCTTGGAAGATTATACACAATACACACGAACCATCTGGATATAACAAAACACATTTCCAGATTTTTAACCCTTGCAGGACCCTTGATATTTGAGTATTCTGTACTTGAAGTTTACAATAGATTAATTTTCTAGAATTTAACTTGTAATTGTAACAAAATAATTGCATTTTATTTCAAATAAACATTGCAATCTTGAATAAAAAATCAAAATCAATTCAAAATATGTGACCTCATTTTCTCTTCAGTAACAGTTCAGATGTGAATATGGAATTTTGGTGGTATCAGAGTGTGATCATAGCAATTTTATCACCAGAGAACGTCAATTTAGTTGAGTATCCCAGTTTGTATTTCCATGAGATATTTTGGCTGCCTTCGCTATTCAACGCAAATATCATAGTATTTTTGATCACTTTTTGTGTAACGCATCACAAATAGTAGTTACTGGCACTAAATTCAAACCTTACTTCTGATTTCATGAGGCACATGTAGTCCAACTAGGGTTAATACTTTTTCAATAATACATGTAAGTCATAACAATGCCCCATCTAATCCAATATATGTTTCACCACGTATTCTATCTACAAAATCACCAAATCAATGTTACACTGAATGTACTCTTGATTTCTACTACAATAAATAGTATAAATGTATGTTGCACATATTTTTGGCAAGCAATGTACAGAACGTACCTATATTAGATACAGAACAGGAATATGAGCCACATCACCTCTCTACATGTGGCTACTTTACAGGGTGTCCAGAAAATAGAGTGACTCAATCTCTAAAATTGTGGATACAAAAGGCCTCATTCTCACCCTGTATGTTACACCTCCAAGTACAATGTTTGGCTAAAATTAGCAAAATAATTTGAACTCCATGTAAATTTTTGCATTGTACAGTGTTTTTTTGATTTGGAGATGCAACCAAGCAATTAGTAGAAACAAACTCATGTCTGCTTATTATCACAGTAGGGTATCCCTAATAACTTAAGTTTCCAATGTATTTACTTTTTCCGAGTTAACAGAATGATACATATGCTTTAGGCATCAAAATGGTTACCTCCGTTGCCAAACTGTGAATATATAACGTCTAGAATCCAATTGACAATCTTAGAGACCAAGTGACAATACTTCTCAAACACCCTACATGACCTTACGTTTAGTCATTCCAAGGATTATAGAACACTTTGTGGTCAGCGAGTAGTACAAAACATGGAAACCAAAAGCATTAAATACATTGTATAAACATCTAACTTTGCCTGTTGGGTATAAAGAGTTCAATAGACAAAACCGAATGAAAAACATCTTATAAAATACTTTGGGTTGTATCATACATATATCGCACAACACAAGTGCCATCTGAAAATGTTCATATAATCATATAATTTCCTGAATCTGTACTATGAGATTGAGACCACTCTGTGTTAAATGAATGAACCACCTAACCATTTTTTCGCAAATTGAGTGTTACTCATCATCGGTTTCTCCATCACTAGATAGCACTGGCGAGGAAGGTGGAGCCACTGTATGTGATGTCTGTATAGCGTGACTGAGACGACGGTAACGATCTAACCACGTCTCCATCATGTGACTGACTAGTGCATTGTTCTTAGTGAGTTTCTGTTGTGCCACTAGGAGTCCACCATCTGTGACGATTACATCCATCCATTCCCGCAACATTATCTCCTCACGATTTAACTGAAAATAACGACAATGATGTTTAAAAATATCAAATACAGTAGGATTAACCCCTTTCTCATCTTTCTATTATCAAAAAAACATATACAAAATATCACAAAAAACATCATAAAAGATTATGCTAGTCATGCTAAATTTAAACAGCTTTGTTTTACAAGTCAATATCTTGAGTTTTGTTTTTTATTTAGTTTTCAGGTATTTTGAAATTATGCATGTGAAATTAATACCTCTCATTTAATATTCTAAAATTTCCATCATTACATGTGGATTTTGTACTTCAAATTCAAATATCTGGAATTCCCATTTTTGCATATGGATTCATTATACCTCCCATTTAATTTCTTAAAAGTGATAATTTAACATGTTAGTTTTTTAATCCACAAGAACATACCTCTGAGCCAGTAAGAAAATGTACAGGCAGAAGCTTTCCCTCACTATCCATCAGGGGCAGGTATGCCACCTGCTCTTCTCCCTGTCCCTGGAGATTAGCCCCAGCCCCCATGCTGGCCCCACAGTCCGTATCCATGGGAACCAGAGCAGAGAAGTGACCCCTGGTGTAACCAAGTGCTATAGGACTCTTCCAGCAGAAACTTTGCTCCCATAGTATTGGTAAGTAGACACCTACAAATACATTGATCGGGCCTATTAAGTTAAAAATATCAGGTAGATGTATAGTCTAGGATGTATTAGGAAGCACATGAAAGAAGTCAACTCCAATTGATGGATTTCTTGGAGCCATGCATTTGTTCTTTTGTAGTTGCTAGGGATATGAATAATATTAGAATATTACTGTAGTCACGCATTCTATAAACTGTGAACATTTAGTCAATATTTCATCAGGTATTTATTCATCGATACAACACCTGGTCTGAACTAAATGTCTGTTTAGTGCTAAACGCTAAACCGGAAGTAGGAAATTGAGAGACGATTTTTGGTGAGTTTTCATGTTTGAATCTAATAAAGACCTCAGATCAGGTATTATATCGAGTAATAAATACCTTAGGGTTTGGCATAAAAGCATTTGTTTGTGCCCAGCCCTGCAGTATATTTTGTTGATATAATACCAGCTCTTCAGTCTATACTTCTTACTTTTATTTTGTGCTATAAACTATAACCATATTGCCCATAAAATCTTGTATGTGCTTTTATGTCCATGTATTAGATTAAAATAGGAGACAATGTTTTCTAATATTTCATTCCATACACTACTGGAAAACCGTTCTACGTTCTATTATATAGACCTACCTTGAAACCTGGCATATCCTATGGTTTCTCCTCTGAAGCTCTTCACAAACTTTACTCCGTAGACAATGACTGGTCGACGAAGAATATGGGCCAGAGCAAATATATGAAGTTGCTCGAGGGCAGCACCTGGAGTTGATATTAAAAACTGTATACTAAGAAGTTATTTACTAGTTTATCAATATACAAGACACTAGACTTGAATATACAAAAATTGTGTATTCAATATATGATTATATTTTTCCTTGTTATTGTAATATATACAATGCAGTCCTTTGAATGCTTATTTTTAGGTTTGATTGACTTATGTTTTCACTGTCCCATACTATAATTGTTTGGGCAAAATATTTAAGGATTTAGAAGATCAATGTTTAAGGAAGGAACAATCCAGAAATTATATATTTTACAAACGATCTAGGTCTATATCTCGTACCTAATATATTACACTATTCAAAGGCCATAGGGTATAATTTTACAAATACGTAGCCAGTTAACAACTATTAACTGTACAACACAGTTTGTTTATTTTTGATATGTAAAATGCCAAAGTGCCTTAACATATGGGCCAGGGCTAAATTAATATACCGTTAATGTAGTTACCTGGTTGAGAGGCAAGACTGAGAAGAACAGCCCAATCCTCCTGCCATTGACTCTCAGCCAATGAGAAGTGCAGAGACTGGGCTTGCATAGATTCATATTCTTTCCAGCGAGGGAAGAACCTGAAAGGTAACAAAATAATAATTAAATAGCAATTTGCTTTTGTAAATTTTACGATTTTTACGCAGAACTTGCGGCACAGAACCAGGAAACGAATCAGAAAAGATTTAAAGAAATTTGGCCAATCAACACTCATAATTTCGAAACTAAATTTTTGAAGATAAAATATAGACAGTTTGGACCATATTTCAGCGTCAACTTGAAACCATCCCTTTTTCAAGCAAAAGTGCAGATATTTGTATTATATGATTCACTTTATTCTTAATATCTATATTAATATCTATATTAATATCTTAATATTAGAATACAGGTACAGGTGCTGGTATAAAATTTTATGAGATCAACTACTAGAATAGTATGTACCTTGCATTAACAATATGCAGGGGTTTCACTAGAATTTCTCCCAACAGATTTCAATATAAATGAAAACAACAGGCAAAATTAATGGAAATCATAGATTTAACATGAGAAAGTCCCTCAAAACAACAGGCAATTTTGTGAAAACAACCGGTGAAATTCACCTGTTGCCTGATGCTTATGAAACTCCTGAATATTTTTCATTTTCATTTAGATTTAGGTAGAAACAGCTACCCGTATTAATCTGACAGGAACTGGTATCTTTATCCTGTTCAAGTTCAAGCCAGCACAGGCCTTTTATCGAGTTAGTATCACTCTAGTAATCAACTTCTCTGCTGTACTAGTTAGCATAAGCTGGCTCCTGTGGCCGCAAGCTGGGATTGAACCCAGGATCTTGTAATCAGGAGTCCAGAGTGCTAACCTTCACACCACAGAACCGAAGACATATGAATGTGCATCCTGATCCGTGTCACTTTTTGTACCTTACTTATTCATATTTGTAGTAAACTCTATCTTACCAATGTTATTGGAACTATGATACAGGATATCAAACAATAAGAATAACTGAATTGAACTTTTAGCATATTTATTCAAGTTCCAAAAAATCTTGAAACGAAACAGGAAGTTAAAATAACTCACGTGATGGCACCTTCATTGAGAGTATCGGCCAGGGCACGACGTAGTGAATTATCACGGTCAAATATACCCCAGGTGGCCTGCAGCACAGAGTCTAGCAAACAATCTCCAGCTGTACGATTCCAGAGAGCATACAACCTACTACCATAACGCTCTGTCAACTCTACACTCCAGTTTATGACAGGCTCTTCGACCTCAAGTTCTGGAAGTTAAATGTGAAACAATCAGTTAGATTCAATATTTTTCATTATGATTATTTAATACATTTTAACAACTCTAATTTCATCTCAATTTTAAAGAAATTGGAGGGATACAGAGAGGTCACGGATTCAATCCACAATAGGGTGAACTGATTTTTTCATGCTTGCTTTAGCAAAGAAATTAATAATGTTTTTTTTAAAATCAAATACAGATGTTCAGGATATATGAGCAACAATTTTAAATTCAGTATTGATACAAACACTGTACTAACTTGGACCGTTAATTTGAATTTTTGACCTACCAAATGTTTGGAAATCAAGGAATTGCGAGTCTTGTTCCATTCAAAGAAAAAAAGAAAAAGAAAATTGCCTTTCTGTAGGTGCATCGCTTTACTGTAAATAGTTCCTCGTTTTAGCAGCGTTTTGGTCCCCAGCTGTTAGAGGCCCTTCTCACAGCTGGGGACCAAAATGCCGCTGGAAGTAGGGACTCTGTATAACAGAATAATATACGAACAGAAAGGCGTTTTTGTTATCCTTTGAATGGAACAAGTTTGGAGAAAAATGGTGCAGTATGAGACTTGCAATCCTTGATTTTCAAACATCTGGTAGGTCAAAAATTCAAATTAACGGTCGAAGTTAGTACCGCATGACAAGGGCTGTTCAATATATAATAATCCATAAAATTGATAACTTGTAGTATCTATTGCATTACTCTCATATGCTCACCTTTCTGGACATCTTGGTCCAAGAGTTCATCATATAGCTGCTTCTGTATAGGGGCTGGGAGATCTTCAATATCTGAAAAATTATGATAGGGGCTTGACGGTTTTAACTTATACAAGTCATGTATTCAATGTATCTTGCTCTAAAAAAAATGGATTTTGAACAAATCAATATTTAATTGTAAATAATTGCAGTATTATGATAAAAATAACATACATTTTAATAAATTCTAAACAAAAATTCTGTAAAATTTACACCAAAATGGTCATTTTGCTTTAGAGAACCAATGTCTGTTTATTATGGGACAACAATATTTCAAAAAAGAAAAAACAATATAAGGTCCATCTTAAAATTAGAATATAAAATTTGTAACATACCAGCTGGTAGAGAGAATGTAGCGCATTCAGCTACAAAGTAACATGGGAAATCTCCTTTACGCTGCCTGAGTGAAGCTGAGATCTCACGTCGCAATTCTGCCGCTATGTCTGGACTAACATGTGACGGCATGCGCTTTATTGCTTTACTAGGCACATCAGTTGAAGTGAGGAGAATAGCGAGAATATCTTCCCTTTTGAATCTAATGGCTAGATGGACTAGAGTATAGCCAACTTCAAATGCGCTTTTACGTCCAAGAAGTAACATTTCATCCTGAGTTATCTGTCGGGCGGGATCACCTCCAATAGTTAGGTATGACTCAACACTATGTATGTCACCTTCTACGACACCCTGACACGCCCCAAGCCACAACCAATCAATTTCATGCATTTTGTTCCGAATCTGTTTGATACGTGATTCTCCAGCTTCAATATTACTGTCTTGCATATTTGCAGAAGCAGTGGCTCCCTCTATGTATTCCTGTTTACGTGAGGGCCCCGGAGGTGAATGTCTACTTGGTTTACGATTGCTTAATGTTTCCCGAGAGTTACTACACGCTCCTAAGGCTTCCACAAAGTTTTTATCCCTGACAGTGCCACAAAGTGAACATTTGTTCGCCTTTGGCCAGTTTTCATATGTACATGCCTGACACGACCACTTCACTGCACCTCCCCTCGATGTTCCTGCTTTGGGACGGTTGCGATCATTATTAGCTGCTTTAGCTTCACTAGGTGACTGGGGAGATATCCTTGGAGATAGTCTATTTGGAGATCCGCAACTTATTGCCCGCTCTTCTATATTGACATTGATGCTAAGAGGCTTCATACTGGATACGGTGGCGCCATCTGATTTTGGACTGAGACACTGCGTACACTTATGGGAGCGAGGCCAGTTTAAATATGTGCACTTCTCGCATGACCATTTAGCATCTGGGTCATAAAGACGGCTTGTAGCAACCTTCTTCGGAGACCCCTGTCTTTGAGGGAGGTCTTGTGTGACTAGACTACATGGTGCCATTTTGTAGATATCCCCAACCCTTTCGGCTTCATTGATGTACTGTAGCTGCTTTGGGGCCCTACATAATGTACACCTCTTAGAAGCAGCAAAGTTCTGGTATGTACAATACTCACAGTTCCATTTCTCATCCGCGTATTCAGACATTATGCCAAATATGGTATGATAGCGCCAATTTTATAGACTCAAAATGACCTTGGATGACCTTATTTGGACAAATAATGTCACATGTCCATCAGGTCAGAGTTCACTTTCACAATATGACATCATGGATCTGAGGTTGATGGATGCACCTGAAATTAGAACAAAATGATATTTTATACATCTATTTCATTAGTCATTGTATAAAATTTAAAAAATGGGTTATATTCCAAAGTTTGGCGTTAATAGTGATGATTGTGTATTTTGTTACCATTATAAGAAGTCAGCATGAAATTTCAGGGCACATTTTGCCTGGAAACGTGTAGAACGTTTTTGAGAGAAAAAGTTCAAAGTGGTACTTTTGATATTAATACAGTCAGCTGAAGCAACAAGGAACTTTATAACAACCTTACACCAAAAAAATTATGACTGAAAATCTAAATGTAACCTTGAAATTTATCATTACCCAAAATTTAATCAGTTTTAAGATTTTTGTACCGATAAGCATCCCTGCAAAGTGCATACATGTATAAGATTTTAGGAAAGAACATCCATACCTTTCAAGTGAAGAGGTTACTTCTAAAGTAACCTCTGAATACAAGGACTAGCTCCCATGGATGCAACTCAATATTTTCTAACAATAAAGATCTTAAAGGATGTCCTGATTTTCACTTCAAATTTTGAATCCAGTTTTGGTCTTATTGCATAAAAAATTCTAAATGCACAAGAAGTGATTAGATATAAGAGCGAATCTTTTGGACTATGTATGAATTTATAAGCAGTTAAGAGGGGGAGAAACCCCAGGGTTCAAAGATGACATACGCTTATAATGTAAATCTGTATTGAGATGATATCGTCGCTGATTGATTGGTTTAAAACTAGGTCAATTTGAAAACTTTGAAAACCAAGATGGAGGGTATACATACTTCCAGGAAAGGAGTTGCGTGAAGGAGGAAATCGTATGTCATCAATTGAATCATGGGGTTTTCCTTCCTCTTAAGCAGTTAATGTCAGACAATAACAACATTCTGACATTTTCATGTTTGAAAATATCAAGATTGCATTCTGGGAGTCAATCCTCCTTGCTCTGTATAGTTTAGAGTAACTCCCTATAAAAAATACATGATGAATCTTTTACTATAAAAAATTTCTATTTGATTAAAATACAACAGCGGGTTGTTTTCAATTTCCTGATTTAGATGCTGAATGTCTAACTCATGAGTCTAATCATTTTGATACTCAGATCATCTCTGCCTAGCAGAAAAAGGAACTCATAGAAGGATGTGATCTCTCATGATTGGGCATATACAGTATTTTGATATGCATACTGTATAATTTTTTGACACTTTTTAGTTCCAAAAAGGTAAATTAGTTGATGTTGCATAAAACATTTGTTTTTTATTATTTCTCCAGATAATCCTAATCTATCCTTCTCCAGATAATTCAACATCTCAAATATGATCTTTTTACCCCTCCCCCTCATCCAAGGCAATTTCCAAGCCTGCTCTACCCTGCGTGCAGATTCTAGTTTAACTACAGAAGAACAAGAAGCTCTCTTTTAAGAAGTGAAGTCGAACGAATGCAAAGGGTAAGCCTGCTCCTGCATATCAAGCTTCATCTATAAGAAGTCTATTTTGGGATCATTTTAACCACCTGAGTTGTAACTGGGATTAGAACTTCTTAGTATAATCACCCCAGATAGCTAGCGAGAACTCATGATCAGCTATATCAAACTTCCAAATACTAAGCTGCATCTTGTGTATTGAAACTGAAACCTTTATATAGTCTACCCTTCTTCACGTTAAATTCAAAACATGAGCCGTATTGTAAAAGTACTGTTTTGGGATAGTTCTATAAACAATAGTTCTCATTAATCACATATCATCAACAAGGCATTAACATGACAAAATGTCACCACCTAAAACAATTTGGTCAATTTAAAGCAAGTTGGAAAATACCTTTTGACCTTAAGAAGAACTTCTGAGAACATGTAGATGATTTTGAAAAAAAAATTAGTCAATTTGAAGCAAGTTGAAAAAAGACCTTTTTGACCTTGAGAAGGTCATTGAAGGTCAAAGGTCAAATCTAAAGTCAAATCTAAAGTCAGATTTGAATTTCTGAAAACAGACCTTTTTGACCTTTTTTGACCTTGAGAAGGTCATTAAAGGTCAAATGTCAAATCTAAAGTCAGATTTGAATTTCTGAGAACATGTAGATGATTTTGAAAAAAAAATTAGTCAATTTGAAGCAAGTTGAAAAAAGACCTTTTTGACCTTTTTTGACCTTGAGAAGGTCATTGAAGGTCAAATGTCAAATCTAAAGTCAAATCTAAAGTCATATTTGAATTTCTGAGAACATGTAGATGATTTTGAAAAAAAAAATTAGTCAATTTGAAGCAAGATGAAAAAATACCTTTTTGACCTTTTTTGACATTGAGAAGGTCATTGAAGGTCAAATGTCAAATCTAAAGTCAGATTTGAATTTCTGAGAACATGTAGATGATTTTGACATAAAAAATTAGTCAATTTGAAGCAAGTTGAAAAAAGACCTTTTTGACCTTTTTTGACTTTGAGAAGGTCATTGAAGGTCAAATGTCAAATCTTAAGTCAAATCTAAAGTCAGATTTGAATTTCTGAGAACACGTAGATGATTTTGGAAATTTTTTTTAGTCAATTTGAAGCAAGTTGAAAACAGACCTTTTTGACCTTTTTTGACCTTGAGAAGGTCATTGAAGGTCAAATGTCAAATCTAAAGTCAAATCTTAAGTCAGATTTGAATTTCTGAGAACACGTAGATGATTTTGAAAAAAAAATTTAGTCAATTTGAAGCAAGTTGAAAACAGACCTTTTTGACCTTGAGAAGGTCATTGAAGGTCAAATGTCAAATCTAAAGTCAGATTTGAAGGTCAAATGTCAAATCTAAAGTCGAATCTAAACTCAGATTTGAATTTCTGAGAACATGTAGATGATTTTGAAAAAAAATTTAGTCAATGTGAAGCAAGTTGAAAAAAGACCTTTTTGACCTTCAGAAGGTCATTGAAGGTCAAATGTAAAATCTAAAGTCAGATTTGAACTTCTGAGAACATGTAGATGATTTAGAAAAAAATTGAAGTCAGTCTAAACAGTATTTGTTAAGTTATAGGAAGTTGTAAGAAATTGTTACAGACGCCGGACGCCAGACGCCGGACGCCAACCGCCGTCGCAAAAAAACGGAGACCATAACAATATGTCACCACTTTTGGTGGTGACATAAAAAACTATTGCATGAAGAAATCAAAAATGTTTAAATAGCATTTTCAAAAATTGCCAGATGTAAAACAAAATTTTAGGGTAGGAAATATTCAAAGAAAATGCGTTACATATACAGTATCCGTGTGAAAATCTGAACAAAATTCGTTTTTTTTTTCTTTCGGTGTTCGTTTTTTTGCTGAATCGACGATCACTTTTTTGAAGTTTTTCAACAGAAATATTTTTGCTTGACAATAATCAGGTAAATGCGTATTTGTGTGACAAACTGTGTGGCAAAAAAACTGGTGTGACTTGAAATTTTCCAGCAAATGCGTGACAAATAGGCAAATTGCAAGACAGTTGGACAGCCTGAAATTCAAATTTCTCCTATCATTTGAAGCTGTATTGGTCACATTTTCTGAAAATGCAAAAGAAAGAAAAAAGAGAAATTACAACTTTTAACTATCTTGCAGTCACATTTTCAGAGGGGTGAAAAACCTATTTTATCATGTTTATGGTCATTCTGACTATGCCAAATGTGATCCTGGTGATAATGATATGTGAAAACTGTCTGAAGGTCAAAAGAGAACTCTGTATAAATCTTCGTTCAATTTTTTTCAAACACCAGTATGTTTTCCAGTTTTATCACTATCTGTTAATTAGGCTATACTTTGAGACCTTAAAAACAGACTACATAGTACTATATAACTGATGATTTTTTACCAGAATTGTTAGCTTGCTCGAAAGCACAAGAATTTGTCAAAACTGAAACAGAAGTAGACAAGGCATTAACATGACAAAATGTCACCACCTAAAACAATTTGGTCAATTTAAAGCAAGTTGAAAAAATACCTCTTTGACTTTTTTTGACATTGAGAAGGTCATTGAAGGTCAAATGTCAAATGTAAAGTCAGATTTGAACTTCTGAGAACATGTAGATGATTTTGAAAAAAATGAAGTAAATTTGAAGCAAGTTGAAAAAAGACCTTTTTGACCTTGAAAAGGTCATTGAGGGTCAAATGTCAAATCTAAAGTCAGATTTGAACTTCTGAGAACATGTAGATGATTTTGAAAAAAAAATTAAGTAAATTTGAAGCAAGTTGAAAAAAGACCTTTTTGACCTTGAAAAGGTCATTGAAGGTCAAAGGTCAAATCTAAAGTCAGATTTGAACTTCTGAGAACTTGTAAAGTCAAATTTGAACTTCTGAAAAGATGTAGATGATTTTGAAAAAAAAATTTGGTCAATTTGAAGCAAGTTGAAAACAGACCTTTTTGACCTTTTTTGACCTTGAGAAGGTCATTAAAGGTGAAATGTCAAATCTAAAGTCAGATTTGAATTTCTGAGAACATGTAGATGATTTTGAAAAAAAAAATTAGTCAATTTGAAGCAAGTTGAAAAAAGACCTTTTTGACCTTTTTTGACCTTGAGAAGGTCATTGAAGGTCAAATCTAAAGTCAAATCTTAAGTCATATTTGAATTTCTGAGAACATGTAGATGATTTTGAAAAAAAAATTTAGTCAATTTGAAGCAAGATGAAAAAATACCTTTTTGACCTTTTTTGACATTGAGAAGGTCATTGAAGGTCAAATGTCAAATCTAAAGTCAGATTTGAATTTCTGATAACATGTAGATGATTTTGAAAAAAAAATTTAGTCAATTTGAAGCAAGTTGAAAAAAGACCTTTTTGACCTTTTTTGACTTTGAGAAGGTCATTGAAGGTCAAATGTCAAATCTTAAGTCAAATCTAAAGTCAGATTTGAATTTCTGAGAACACGTAGATGATTTTGAAAATTTTTTTTAGTCAATTTGAAGCAAGTTGAAAACATGACCTTTTTGACCTTTTTTGACCTTGAGAAGGTCATTGAAGGTCAAATGTCAGATTTGAATTTCTGAGAACACGTCAAATCTAAAGTCAGATTTGAAGGTCAAATGTCAAATCTAAAGTCAAATCTAAAATCAGATTTGAATTTCTGAGAACATGTAGATGATTTTGAAAAAAAATTTAGTCAATGTGAAGCAAGTTGAAAAAAGACCTTTTTGACCTTGAGAAGGTCATTGAAGGTCAAATGTCAAATGTAAAGTCAGATTTGAACTTCTGAGAACATGTAGATGATTTAGAAAAAAATTGAAGTCAATCTAAACAGTATTTGTTATGTTATAGGAAGTTGTAAGAAATTGTTACAGACGCCGGACGCCAACCGCCGGACGCCAACCACCCACCGCCGGACGCCAACCACCAACCGCCGTCGCAAAAAAACGGAGACCATAACAATATGTCACCACTTTTGGTGGTGACATAATAAAACGGGATCACATCATTATACCGATGCGTATGGTACCCAAAACCAATACACCTATGCACGTTGTACCAAAAACCAATATACCGATTCACGTTGTACCTAAACACATTATACCATTGTGTGTTTGAAGAGTAAAATGGTCACCATGTAATTTACCCATGCATGTATAAAACCTGATCAGATCTTGGTACTCGTCTGCTTATGCATGTGCAAAAATTTCAAGTTGAACAGGTACCGAATTCGCCACAATAAGCGCGCTTTTGAAATTGAAATTCCCATTGTAACCCATTATAAAGAGCGCCCATATATGAGAAAGCAAGAATCTAACTATATTGACAGTGATTGAAGAACTCCCCAGCTGAGCCCCTTAAGGTGAAGGAATTATTTTCCGCGATTATCTTCAATATTTCCACTTTAGACTGTTAGATATCAATCTTAAGTTATACCTCGTTTTTTATAATCTGAAGACACTCATCATTTTTCATGTAAAAGTCATGTAAAAGTCAAGAAATCTTAAAAAGAAACAAGAAAGTTCACGACCTTGACGATCGCTAAATTAGTAAAATGTCGAAACAAAACTATGAAGTGATCATTTCCTTCATTCATTATGGACTATTTTTATCATATTATTATCATATTGCAATTGATTAATCATATCAATATTAATATTCCACCTGTTCACTATTCTCTGGGTGAAAAATCGCTATCTCAGCATTGTCCTATTTTGTTTCTTTAAAACTCTCATATTATTGCCACGAGTTCTACCAATGTTCTGGGAGATGGGAAGGATGTTGCTAATTGGTATGTCATACTTTTCATTTTCCATGTTTTGATCATATCGCCTCTGAGACGTCTAAATACAAGTGTTGGTAATTTTAACTCTTTCAGTCTTTGGGGATAATCCTTATCTTTCAGGCTTGGTATACATCTTGTGGCTCTTCTATGTACGGCTTCAACTGCTTCAATGTCCCGGACTAGATATGGAGACCAAACTGTGAGATAGTTGTACCATGGCCTTGTAAAGTAGCAACATATTGGAGGAATCTAAAAACTGGAAAGTCCTTCTTATTAATCCCAGAATTTGATTAGCTTTTTTTGACTACCTAATTGTGTGGTACTTTTCGAATCCTTGGTAACCATAACTCCAAGGTGACGTCCTACGACCCCTTTAGATTGTGGTCGTACGCCCGATTCATTGGTAAGCCTGTCTTTCTACAATGTCAGAGAATGAACTATGCATTGCACTATTAAATGACCTACCTCGATACATTCCAGAGTATTTTAGAATTCTTTTTATGTTGTTAGATCGCCAATTGTATGGGTTTATCGGCAGAACGAAGATATTTTCGTTTTTGATAGCAATATTTGCGTGTAATATTTAACTTATTTCAACCGTCAAATTCCTCCATTCAGTTCCCGGCATGCACCAGTCATAAGGGAAATCCCTGGGGAATTCCCCTTCCGACATTTTGAAAATTGCTGACACATTTCCGATGTAAAAACTAAAATCTCTTCGTTCTGCCGATAAACCCATACAACTGGCGATCTAACAACATAAAAAGAATTCTAAAATACTCTGGAATGTATCGAGGTAGGTCATTTAACAGTGCAATGCGTAGTTCATTCTCCGACATTGTAGAAAGACAGGCTTACCAATGAATTGGGCATACGACCACAATCTAAAGTGGTCGGTAGGATACGACAACAGTGTGCTAGACTGCCAATGTTACATTGATCCATGACGACGATTCTCTGTCGGTGGTGGATGTGATATACATGTAAACATCTCAAGATATCTTAGACTGATTCCCTTCCATAGACCTTATCCCGTTCCCGGACTATAGTCCTGCACTGATCGCATTCATTTGCCTGTACGATTACAACTTGGGAGAATTATCTACGCCCCTTACACTTAAGATACCTACCTCAATGCATTATTGAACTCAAGATGTAACTTCTAATATATTGGAACCGCCGATTGTCTGGGTATATCGGCAGAACGAGAACATTTTCTCTTTTTCATCGAGAGAGATTCCATCACTTTTCAAAATGGCGGTTGGATTTAAACGGGGAATCCCCCGTTTGGCTGTCCCGGATGTAGCCCGGAAGTACCAATATGGAGGAATGTGACGGTTGAACACGCAAATATTGCGATCAAAAACGAAAATGTCTTCGTTCTGCCGATAAACCCAGACAATTGTGGATTCAACTACACGAAAAGAATGCTAAATTACCAAGGAATCTATTGAAGTAGGTATCTGAAGTGTAAGATCAGTAAAAAATTCTCCCATGTTGTAATCGCACAGGCAAAAGATTGAGATGTTCACAGGACCATAGTCTGGGAACGGGATAACATAGACCAAACATAGGCCTTGTGCGTTACCCGAAAATTTGCTCAACCTCGAGAACGGAAATATTCTGATCTCAGAAAATGAATAATATCACAAATTAATTTTCTTCATGTTTTGCAATAATAACAGCATATAGGGAAGTTAAAATACTTACATCCTTTCGAAAAGATACTCAAAATCCATTAAATAGTAAAAAAGTTGTATTTAGTGTTCTCTGAATGGGGTTAAATCAGCAATATGTGTGAAATATTTTGTTTATATTTATGAAAATTGCAGCCATTTCTTGATGACGTCATATGGAATTCCCCTGTAAGAAGTACACTGAACTACACATTGCACTCGAATTTCAGGTTTCTACTATTTCTCAGGCAAGCAAGTCACCTTCCCTCTAGCTCTCTCATATATTCTCTATATCAAAATATAGGCTACAATATATAAGAGGGAGGGTGACTTAGTTCCCATCCCCATGGCCAATGCTTGTAGGTCCAACATATCGAACTTTTGAAGACCATATAAGATTCATATTACCAAATTCGGTTCAGTGCAATTTAGCCTCGATTTCAAATCACAGAATTCAGGGTGAGTAAAAAATGTTGGTGGTTATTCATTGTTATTTTGTTGTTTAATCGTATACGATTTCACATTTTAAAAATCTGAATTGAATGTAGATCGAACCCAACATCACACATAGAAAAATTGGTATCATTCTCATGCACATTAGGCCCCTACATGTTCCGGAAGACAGTTTCGTTTTTCAACTGATCTGACTTTCTTGGATTTGTGAATTCTGTCACTGCAGGCCCTTAGCCAGGGGATTAGGGAGGGAGCAGTCGCTGGCCAGAAATTCTTTCAACATCATGCAGTTCAAATGCCCATTGGCGGATCAAGAAGCTATCAAGGGGGCAGGGAGCATATTTCAAGTTAGGGTCCATCTCCAGGGTTACGGCTGTTTCACGCTATTGTGCGCAAATGTGTTGCATAGTGTCCGTAGCCCTTGCTAGCAAATATACTCCTACACTGCCATATAAGGAGATTAATGAACAAGTGTCATCAATAACTTATTTTCAGACATGATGCCTTCATCACATATTAAAAACAAAAACATAAAAAGTGCCAAATTATCAGGTGGGTGCAAGCCTATTTTCAAAATCTCAAGTGCTGCGCCCACTTGCTTAATGCTGGGGAGATCACTGTATCTTTGAATTGATGTAGTGTATGTATTTGTCATGATTGTGGAATGGATTTTAGATTCATCCCAGAAACTTGTGAAACTGCAACGTTTAATTTTTCCTATCATTCAGATCCTCTTAAACATCCAAAGTTACAAGTAGTATGTTATCAAGGGCTTCAAGGCCCTGCTGCTCTCTCATTTTTTCCCTCGACATCAATTGGGGAAATATGTTAAAGAAGATACTTGTTACAAGACACAATGTTCATGCACATATATCAGGTGTCCCAAAAAAATGAGCCGCTTTTAGGGACACCTGATTATATTGTCTGATATATCTTCCAGGCTTATATGATGTCAAAGTGCCGAAAGTGGTTATAAAATCTAATTATATTCTTAATAGAAAATTTAATTTATAAAAAATAACAAAAAACTTAATTTATCTTTATTCAATGTCACATCATTACCTTCAAGTACTTTACCCTGTTTCATATAAAAAGTTTATGTTCTATATTTTCAGACTATAATGTTTAAGAGCTACCAGCATGATGTAGTTGTACATCCTTCGCTAGACTGAGTGGCGCTTGTTCAATATATTGATGCAAAGGTAAGAACTTGGCCTAAACTTGAATTCGTGAATGCAACTTTGATTGTCGGCTTTCAAATTAACCTATTATTTTATGGGCAACTCATTTAAATAAGAATAGTATTTACTACTGTTCCTTTCATATATAAATGAGTTGGTCATAAAATAGTAGGTTAATCACAGGTAGCCAATAGCTGAAAGTTGCATGCGGGGATACAAGCTTATACTGCGTTTTTGAGTTGCCCACGGTGGTGATGCATTGCATAATAGGTAATGAGATTTCCCCCCAGGTGTCAAGAACGCACTAACACTCACATAATTCTTTTGAAAGACACCAAGGTTTATTACAATCGAACTCCTGTAGTGCATTAGCAACTAGCCAGTGCAGTTGACACACATGAGCGTACAGCGTAATTAGTGGTTAAAGTGCGCTTGGATGAACTGGTTTTGTTGAAAACGTGTGAGCATGTAATCTGCAACACATGGGCTCATTGTTCTTTTTGTGAAGCCTCGGAACTAGCAAATGTGACCAAGGTATTACCTGACAAGTTTGACACATCGTAATTAGCAGTGTAAGTGCGCTTGGATGAACTGCTTTTGTTGAAAATGTGTGTGCATGTAATTTGCAACGCATGGGCTCATTGTTCTTTTTCTTTTTGTGAAGCCTGGGGGGAATACTTATTATATATTATGCAATTTACTCACCTTCAAGCAGTTCAAAAATGCAGCCTTAATCAAACACACATTCTCAAGATATGCCCCTAATCAGTTATGCACATTTATGTACATGTATGTACTAGATACCTATTTGGCCATATTTTGTTGATGCTATGTTTAACATCTTTTGTTGTTGGTACATGATAAAGTTAACCATTGGATATTAGGCCATGCCAAAGTGTTGCTTCAAGACGGTGACCCCCCCCCCCACCTTCTATGTACTTCACCAACACAACACATGGGGATTGGGGAAGTACATTAGGGGAATGGGGAGGGGTCTAGGAACTTAAACAAGACTTGCCATTTCACAAAGGAATAATACATTCTATCTGTTCTGTGTTCTATTATTTCTGGTTTACCCATTCTTTATAAGTGTATTTTAATTCATAGGTTTGTTTGAGTTAGTTATGGCATCTGTGAGCTAGCAAACACTGTATAAGTCAAGAGACCTATTGGATTCCTATTGCTGCACATGTTGCACCATCTTTATCCTCTTTAAACATAAACTTGTCAAGATGTTGCACTAATGAATATTAAAAGCTTTCTATTTGAAGTTTAAGAACAATAAATAGTATGTATCTCTGAAATACAAGTAAATACTATTTAGATAATTAATGAAGATATTGACTAGGCACCATCCATGCTCAAGAGTGATGGATGTACCACACACAGTGTTCTCCAAAAGATTTTTTTCTCAAATGGGTGCAAAATTCTCATTTTCACAATTCAGAGCAAAATTTGTCCCAATATGCAAATTTTTCATGATTTTTCTCATTTTCAAGTGGATCCAAATGGATTTTCAGGTGGGTGCAAGCCTGTTTTCAAAATCTCGGGTGAGTTTTAAGTTGTACCTGGCAATGTGAGGTATGATTAAAGGCAGTTTCAATCCCAATTTCACCACCTTAAATTGTTATGAAAGTGTATGATTGTTACTTTTAGTGAGTTTTGAAGCATAATTACCCAGTTAGCTGTGAATCAAATAAGATAACGTCATTTTGTTTTGCAATGTGATATTAATATTTTTATTCTTGATATATAATGCTGCATATTAATACAACATTGGTGTATCTTTCATATTTGTTAATTATGTTGGAAGAAAATGACAAAATTAAAACTCAAGTTATTAGTATATTATGCTGTCAAATTGAAAGAAATTATGCAATATTCCTTCAAATACTCGTATGGTTGAAAACAATGAGTTACATAAGATTTGCTTTGATAGCCATTCAAACGCAATATCTGTGATTTTATTGTCCCACAACAGACAATACATATTTCCTTTTCTTCAAATGTATGGAATTATCTATCAACCACATAATGTATAATGTTATCCAGCCAGCATGCGTCTGCCTCATATATTTGGAAGATCAGATGACTTTGAAGTTCTACATACTAATCTATCATCATAGACTAAAGTAGGTTGGACAAGGGTAAATTACTAGGCAGTGTAAACATTTGGGAATCATATGTGAATCAGAGACAAGAGCATGAAAATTGATTTTTTTTAAATGTTTTTAAAAAAGATTTCCTACAAGCCCCATGTCAAAAAATCATGAAAAGCTAACATTGTTTATCTCCTGTTTTATTGCCATTTTGAAAAATGGCTGCCATTTTCTGCTATATTCTTTGTTTGTAAATATGCCACCCATGGCTGTTCGATGGGATTTGCTACGCTTTGGCGTTGCTGTTGTCTAGTTGTCTCTGTCTACAGTTTATCTGACTAGAGTTAGCCACCTGGTGGTGAAACTAAGTAACACTTAGGTAATTAAGCAATATTACCCATATTATTATACATACACGTAATTCAATAATACAAATGAAATCATACTTCCATATCCTAATTATATTTCCATTTCTCTTATTGATTTTTATTATTTGAATTGATTAAATAACTCATGTATCAGCGTTCTCAAGCCTCGAAACTCGCGTTGCTATGGTAGTTAAAGGGGTATTCCTTGCCAGACCATCTCTCTCCTAATATGGTAGCTATAACCATATACATACTTTGCAAGTTTATCAAAAAACAGAAAATTGTTTTGAAATGGTCAATATTGATCACTTAAAAATGCTCAATTCCAGTAGGCTGCCATCTTTTAAAGTTTCACACAGGAAGTGATGTCATCGACTCTCAACTTTTCATATAACATTGGTAAGGAGCTATTAGAATTACTAAACCAGCTGAATATATTTTTCAATTTAGCCTATGATTAAAATCCTTTTGATGATCTCTTCTTTAGTTCTAAGTTGACAACTCCTGGAAATATTTTTACACAGAAGATAAGGGCTTCTTGTTTAGAAGTAATTTTGTACTTCTTTCCTGGTTATAATGAAAACACGCGCTACGCGCTAACGCGCCACGCGCCAATGCGCTAATAGAAAATGATCCTTCCCCAACGAAGTGTGCGCATGTTTTAAGCGCATGTTTATGATTGGTCTATATTATAGGCCCAGGGACATGTATAACTACAATTAGGATGTTGCCGAATTTGTCGAAACATTGACACTTCAAAGGCTGTATAAATTACCGCTAACCTGTCAATCAAACTTCAAAGATGTGAACTTTGCGGCCGTAAGATCTCAAAAATTGCACTCTTCTAGTTACGATTTCTCTAGATATATAAGACCAATTGAAATGTTCTAAACATCGTTACAAAACTGAATTCAACTTTAATTCAGGAAATACATGTAATTCCAAAACTAAAATGAACATGCACTTGTACGATTATCGGGCAATGATAAAACACGCTGGTTTACAGTTACTTTTCAAATCGTCTCTAATTTAAAAAACTATAATTCCAAAGATAATCCTCATTTAACAATATTCCCGATAAAATATAATATTCCCGGGACAGCCGTAATTCCAAACTATAACTCTGATAAACAAATTGAAAGCAAACATGAAAGGGGGGTTTATAGGGGGTCTTGGAAAAAAAAAGTGTCTCTTTAGGGTGGCTTGTTCATCTTGAGTTCTCGATTCCAGGTGCTAGAACTCCTATTGGACAATCTAATGTTTTAAAACATCCTTCAAAAACCTGGATTACCCCCATAAATGTTGGGCTGGTTTTAATTCTTTTAAAACATATATTTAACTTATACGATACCATATACGGTAAAAGTTGGCCCCTCTTATGCAATATAAATAAATGTTCACCTATTACGATATACGATATCCCTATACACCCCCCTCCATGAAAGCGAAAGAGTGCCACAACTGGACACGAAAAGAAAATATAAATGCGACGCCTAAAAGGCTTACCACTGCTAAGAATATGTAAGATATAACTTCAAAAAATATAGAGGATAAAGATATACAAAACATTAAAGACTTGAAATTAAGTGGAAATATGCGAAAAATATACATTATGAAGTCATTAGTCAAGTTATTTCAGACGGGGGTCCTCAGATTTCGAAACGGGATTTTTCTCACCGACTCTTCAATAACGCCATGAAATAGTGAGCATATTCGCATATCTGCGACCATTCATCATGGAAGTTGCTACTTTTTATTTTATCTTCCTTTATCAGATAAAACACACTGACAAGCGATGATCTTTGCACAGTAAACGTTACCTAATATATATATTCGTCTCGTTTTACATACATGTTCCCGGGCATAGGGGATCGATCATTCTGAACAGCGCGTTAGTGCGCCAGCGCGTTAGCGCGTAGCGCGTGTTTTCATTATAACCTTCTTTCCTATACTGTAATAGACAAGGTTATAACAGGTGAGAGTCGATGACATCACTTCCTGAAAGAAATCTGAAAAGATGGCAGCTTACTGGGAATGAGTACTACATTTTTAAATGATCAATATTGACCATATGAAAAAATTTTCCCGTGTTTTGCTAAATATGTAAAGTATATATATGATTGTAGCTACCATATCAGGAGAGAAATAGTCTGGCAAGGAATGTTCCTTTAATAACTACCTGATTTTAAAGAAAAGCTACCTATTATTTTACCCAGTAGTTATTTTGGCCACCCACACTCTTAGATTGAGCCAAGTATTGCATGATTTGAAGCAATTTTCAACAATTTTGCAAAGGGTTACTCAGTTACACTTGCACTTTACATAGTTCAACTTATATTAGAATACCCCTGGCCCTGTACATGTATAAATCAATTTTATCCTTCACTTCTTTTAAGGAAAGGGGAATACCCCAGAATTCATAGATGCACACTTCTCTGACGTAAACTAGATCATTGATTGGCCAAGGGGAGTTCATCTGGGGTCATGGGAAAGTACCTCTTCTTTGTCTTAGTGTTGATCAGTGAAAATGAAATTCAAATCTGTCAATCAACTCATAAACAAAACCTCCCAGCTCTGACTTTTGACCAATCAGAAAGCATTTCAATGTAAACAACCTAGTTTGTGAAGTGTGCCCAGAGTCAGCCAACAACCAATCAAATCATGTATATTGCTGTCATACTAAAACAATGCTTTACAGCTATTAAATTATAAATAATACCGATCTCAAAGATGGAATGTAAACTTCAAATTATAAAAACTTGAAATCCCTATGATGTTTTATTGGATCTATCTTCCCAATTAAATGTGCATTTAGAAGTCAGTAGTAGCATCAAGCCATCAAGTCCTATGCTTACTATAATCTAGGGATTACTGAACACATTTGGCTCAAATCTGCCAGGACGGAAGAGTTATATAGGGATTAGGGTGGCTCAAAATAATTTTTTTTTTGAAATGTTATGCTCCCTATGTGAATCGAGTTGCATTTTGGGGTAAATATCACCTGTGATTTTTTTCAAATTTTTTAGTCAACTTTTAGGGGTCCCCCACAGCCTTTGAAGTTTGCCCATAGGCTTAACATTAGTGGGCGTCGCCCAAAATCGTCCTTTGTAGAGGTTTTCTTCAAGAGTGATTTATATAGTTTGTTTGAAGAAAACAACATTGTATATGATATGATTAGATGTTAAAATCATCATATTACTCTGTTTCATCATGTGAACTTACATAAAAGGTTATACTAACAATATCCTATTAACAAAATATTAGGTACATTCGACCAGTATAATTATTTGAACAAGTACAGTTTAAGAGAATCATGTCTCATATATGATTTGGTATTGTCATTATAATGGTTTAAACTTGAAAAGGTATATTCATTCTTGACATTTAATGTTTTAAACATGGTTCAGATCAGATTTTCTTATATGTGACACTCTACCTCTATGATCTGAGCGTACAACACATACATTGTCACGATGCGCCGTGTCACGGGTCATTTGAGACATTCCTGCAGATGATACCAGAACTTGAGACCGTGAAGAGGAGCTGCGGTTGTCAAGTGGGCACTAAGGAAATACCATCCGTAGAGACGGACCACAAATCCCACAAGTCATGTTATCATCTGCAGTTGCTTTGGACAAATAAGTGGCTGAGCATGAATATCTTCAAGAGGTAGAGACTCTTCCCCATGAACCTGGCATGGTGGTAGGCTCCAGGTTGGTCGCAGCTCTTTGCAGTGTAAGACAGAGCAAGAGAGGAGAAGCAGGAGCTTGCTACAGCACTGCTCAACAGCCTGTACAATTTGCAACTGGCAAACCAGGCCAGTCTGACTTCAACCCAGTTGCTACTCACTTAGGCAATGATAAACCATCACTACCAATGTTTGTAACTGAGATATCTTGGCTCTTATCGTGACAATGTATGTTTTGTACGCTCAGAGCAACTTATGTTCAAACCCAGAATTTCTGTCAAGACCTGCATTCTGTTAATGATCCAGCTGAACGAGCAGTGAAGCTGGTACAGGAATGCTTTAAAATGACCTGTGACGCAGCGCATCATGACAATGTATGCGTTGTATGCTCAGATCATAGAGGAAGAGTGTCACATATAAGAAAATCTGATCTGAACCATTTTTAAAACATTAAATGTCAAGAATGAATATACCTTTTCAAGTTTAAATCATTATAATGACAATACCAAATCATATATGAGACATGATTCTCTAAAACTGTACTTGTTCAAATAATTATACTGGTCGAATGTACCTGATATTTTGTAAATAGGATATTGTCAGTATAACCTTTATATAAGTCCACATGATGAAACAGAGTAATATGATGATTTAAACATCTAATCATATCATATACAATGTTGTTTTTCTTCAAACAACATAAGTTAAGCACTGTAGAAGAAAACATCTACAAAGTACGATTTTGGGCGACGCCCACTAATGTTAAGCCTATGGGCAAACTTCAAAGGCTGTGGGGGACCCCTAAAAGTTGACTAAAAAATTTGAAAAAAATCACAGGTGATATTTACCCCAAAATGCAACTCGATTCACGTAGGGAGCATAACATTTCCAAAAAAAAATTATTTTGAGCCACCCTAATAGGGATCTGCATCATTCCATTTGTGTCCAGTGACAATTTGTACCTTAGGGAAACCCCTGGTCAGGGGGGTTTCACTAGAATAGTGAAAATAATGAAAACAACAGGCAAAATCAATGGAAATCATTTATTTAACATGGAAAATTTGAAACGTCCCTGAAAAACAACAGCCGATTTTGTGAAAACAACATGAAAATCGCCTGTTGCTAATGAAACCCTTGAAATGAAATACATGTAAGTAAACCCCCTCCAAAAAGTTTGTTAACAATTGCAATCTAGTTTCAGTCCCCTCCAACATAATATACTGTATAATGGTTATATGCGCACTCCCCTCCAAAAGTTTTTTAGAACAATTTTAATAGGTAAATTCCCCTCCCAAAAGTTTGGAAACAATTGTATTAGGAATACTACCCTCTAAAAGTATGGAAACCGTTATAAAGGAACACTCCCCTAAAAAGTTTGGAAAGAAATGTAGTAGGTACACTCCCTCCAAAAGTTTGGAAACAATTGTAATAGGTGCACTCCCTTTCAAAATTTTTAAACAATTGCAATAGGCACAGTCTCTTCCAACATAATACGATGTATAACTGCTATAGGTGCACTACCCTCCAATAGCTTTTAAACTCTCCAAATTTTTGGATATTGGAATGTTGGAAGTTATGCATTAATTTGAGAGAATTTCAATGCAGTGAGTCAAATTTTTCATAAATGTGCGCATCGGTGCATTATTAGCCTACATTGGCACAAGATAAACATTATATGCTGGTATATGTTATTTTTGAAATATTATAACATCATTTTATATACAACTACCTGACAGAAGCAAATAACTACCTGAAAATTGGACAGGTAGTTATTTTGGCACCAGGCAAAAAATGTGAGTTTCGAGGCCTGGTTCTCCCTCAGTTTTTTTTCAAGTGGGTGCAAAATTCTCATTTTCACAATTCAGACTAAAATTGGTCAAAATATGCCCATTTTTATTGATTTTTCTCATTTTCAAATAGGTGCAAATATTGATTTTCAGGCGGGTGCAAGCCTGCTTTTAAAATCTCAGGTGGGTGCTGCTGCATCCACTTGCTGTAATGATGGGGAGATCAATGTGTATGCTTCCAAATTTCTAGGTTTTATATTGTATCATTCTGGAGTTTCAACAATATACAGTCAAACAGCATCTGTTTTGGAACTTAATTTGCTATAAATCATAAAGTCTAATAGAGAAGTGAAATAATTAAATTTAAATCAATTAAGATCACAATTCAGTATTCTTTATACAAGTAGCACCAGTCTTAATATGGTATCTTTTAAAATATTGGTTGTTTTATTGTACAGACTGCTGTCAATTATTGAGTAAAACATTGTGATTAGAGTATTCTACAGCAGAACTAATACGTATTGGTTCATTTGTAATTAAATTACTGGTTGAAGGCAGATGGATATTAAACTTGGGATAGGATTTACAATAATTTGAGTTAACTACTTGTGTTAATGTCTTAGCAATAATTGATATCTTATTGTTTTCTTTTGCAGGGAGTCCCTTGCATCAGATGAAACCAATATGAGATGGAGTATCCGTAGAGCAGATCATCATCATTTAACTCAGGAGATCTTCATAGACCTGGTTCTGCAGGGACCATTAAGGCCATTGAGAGGAACTGATAAGGCCATAGAGTGGTACCTTTAAGGCCACTAAGAGGTACTGATAAGGACATAGAGTGGTACCTTTAAGGCCATAGAGTAGTACCTTTAAGGCCACTTAGAAGTACTGTTAAGGCCATACCCACATAACCACACAAGGGCACATGATGCGTTTCGCACCAGCCAAAGTATTGAAATCCATCCTTTCAGGAGGAATAGTTGTATTATTGATAGTAAACATTCAACTTTTATACTGGAGCGGCAGTGGACCAAGGAATGGCCGACTACGCGACACAGACGGCTATAACGAAGCCAAGTCCCAAATGGACATACTTATTTCTACTAGCACTAAACGCCAAGTACAGTTTAACAAACGTCCAAAAAGTGAAGTCCCAATGGAATCAAATCCTCTAAATCATATCCTTGATGATTTGGATCATATAGATATGACACATTTGCTCAATCACCTTCAAGGACAAATTCTGGATACTTCTGATAAAGAAGCCTTGCAGCGGACCATTACATTGATAAATCGTAACCAGACAATTCTCAATGCTGAAAAATTCCATTTTCAAATCAGCAAAGAGACGGTAGTGATTGTAGTACAGGTTCACAACAGATTGGAGTATTTATTACATCTATTGAATTCACTACGTAATGTGCCAAATGTTCACCGTGTTCTGCTAGTCATCAGCCACGACTATTACTCAAATGAAGTGAATGCCATTGTTCATTCGATAAATTTTTGTCCTGTAAGTAATTGTTTTTATTAATTTTATTATTTTCATTTTTGCTTATAATGGATACATCATGTAGATTTTTCTATGCCCAGTAGTTCTCTCAAGTTTCCACCTAATTATCCCACTGAACGAAGTTCGAGGGGAAAAGCCGTCCGTCCGTTCGTGTGTCCGGGCAATAACTCAAATACCGGTTAACGGATTTCATTCAAATTTTATAGGCTTATGCCTTATGGGTGTAGGACCTCTGCTTGAGAAGGAATTTTCAATATGGCCACTTAATTCAAAAAATAAGGAGTAAAAAGAAAAATCGAGGAAAAATTTGGTTTCAATAGAGACTGTGATCTTGCAAAGAAACAAATAATATACCTTGGCAAATTGGTTCAAAAACACCCTAAAGACTCCTATCTAAGGGGTAAATTTTGTCATGACAAGAAACGATACAAACAACTTGTAAGTAAAACTCAAAAAATGTTTAAGAGAAACCTGCTTGAAAAATTGAGGCAATGGACAAATCTAACCCTAAAGAATTTTGGAATATTGTTAATAAAATTAGAAATGAAGAGCAGAAAAACAACAAAGCTGATGCTTTTGATCCTGAGATATGGCTTAATTATTTTAAAGATCTAAGCAACATGGATATGCAGATAAATGACCATAATACAAATATAGACAAAATTGTTGAGGAAAAACTCAATACAATGTTACGATGATCAAAACAAAATTGAAGTCCTTGATGAAAATATCAAAACTTGTGAAATTTTGGAAGTGTGCAAAGAGCTAAAGTTAACTAAATCAGGTGCCACAGATAGAATAAACAATAACATGATCAAGTGTGCTCTAGAACATATGACAACTCCCATACTAAGACTTTTTAACTTAATCATTAATTCAACACATTTTCCTAAAATTGTGGTCATGAGGAGATATAGTTTCAATATTTAAATCAGGTAACACATTAGACACTAAAAACTATAGAGGCCTCACTTTATCCAACTTGCTAGGAAAAGTGTTTACCTCAATAATGAACAATAGATTAAACAAATATCTCACAATGGAAAATGTATTGACTGCCAATCAAATAGGCTTTCAAAAAAAACAAAAGATGTACGGATCACATATATGTTCTTAATTTTATTATTAGAAAATTTAAGTCTCAGAAAAAGAAACTGTACACATGTTTTGTGGATCTAAAGAAGTGTTTTGATTCACTCTGGCGAAATTGTATATTCTTTAAAATGTATGAAAGTGGTATTACCTCTCAATTTATCAGAATAGTGCAAAACATGTATGCATGTACACAGTCACGAGTTAAGTTTGCTGACGCTAATGGTAACAAGGTATTTACAGAATATTTTGAAACCATGGTTGGTACAAGGCAAGTTGACTATCAGTCCCACAATGCTGAATATATTTATAAATGATTTAGAATCCTACTTATGTAAGAAAAAATGTAAAGCTATACGATTAGACGATGTATCCACAAACTTTCTGGCCTTTGCCGATGATATTGTACTTATGAGTTCATCAGAGTCTGGCCTACAGAACTGCTTAATTGATTTAGAAAGTATTGTTCTGACTGAAAATTACAGTAAAACAAAAGTTATTATCTTTAATACCACTAGTATGAACCATGTATTTTATTTTGGTAATAATAAGATTATTGAAACTAAAAGTTATGTATACCTTGGCATCACCTTTAAGAAAAATGGTTCTTTGTATCAGCCATGAATTTACTGAATAGTAAGGCAATGAAAGCTCATTTTGCTATTAAACAAAGTTTTTATAGAATGCCAGTATGGATACGAATGAACCTGTATGATTCCCTCATAAAACCAATATATGGCTCATAGATATGGGGCGCATATGGATTTAATTGGAAATCTAAATCCATAGAAGAAATGTTATTAAATGACAAACTCCCATTTGAACAACTGCATACAAAATTTTGCAAATTCATACTACAAGTTAATTCAAAATGTACAAACATACTAGCTAAATCTGAATATCCCAGATGCGAGTAGAAATAATCTTGATTTACGTCATCAAAAATTCATAATTCAGTCAAACTGATGTCATATTTGGAATCTACATGTAAAGTTACCTTTAGAAAATGTGGTTTTGAAAAGAGTTTATCAACTTTGAAAATTTAATTTTCTTTGAAAATATGACTTCTAGGTCGGGGAGATTCCCCATAGACCCCATGTTGTAAAACCACAAAAAGTGAAATATCTTTTCTTGTGTTTGGCAGATAATATTTTCTTTTACTGGACATATTTTAATTTGTATAACTATCAGATACATGAGGGTAATATGAAAAGTGAACCACTAAAACTGATGCATATTCAAGTTTAAGGGAATTTTGTAATACCCTGCCCTGTTAATTCCCCCGAATCAGCCACCTGGTGGCGAAACTGGTAACTACCTACTCGCATCTGAGTAATTGGGAAGGTATCCCTTATTTAATAATATCTGTATTGGGATCATAAAATATTGGGTACATGCAAGGAAAGCTCCCAAAACTTCACTGATCTCGAAAGTAACAACTCTAGATATTGCCAACAATACCTCAAATTATTATACTGTTGTAAAGGCTATCTGTGAATTCTGTGGAATATCAACTTTTATCGAAGATAAAGATAGTTTTGATCAAACAGATGCAAGCATATTAATCAAAACCTTGAAAAACAAATTATTTAATAAATATCAAAAAATTTTATTTCAAAAAATTAATGGGGCCCCATTAATGTAGCTGAAAATATACCATCTAAAACCAGAATGTATAGAACAGTAAAGAAAATGTATAAACAAGAGAAATACCTTAATATTAATAATGATTCCCACAGAAAGGCTATAACAAGGACTAGGATCTCATGTCATAACTTTCCTATAGAAATGGGAAGGAGATTCAAAATTGCAAAAGAAAAGCTATATTGCTATTTATGTGACTCCAAAGAAATTGGTGATGAGTACCATGTACTTTTCGAATGCAACTATGAAAAACTTATAAATATACGTAAAGACTTTATTTTTTTTGGTATAAGACAGATTAAAGAACAGTTTATACAATTTAATAACAAACAGCTATTTAGTTACATGTATTTACGATAATGGATCTAATGAATCCATGGGGTGAATTCCTAAACAAAATGAACCTTACTGTTGACACTCATAAAATACTGAGAAATAAAAATGATTTACTGAAATGGTTCCAAAAGAAAGGTGATGCCAAGGAAGCAAGCAATATGATTATCTCATTTATATACTGCTCATAAATATTACTATACCCTTTGTGTCTCTGTATGCATGTTTCCTCATTGTAAACAACTATATATGTTATACCTTTATTCTATGTATGCATGTTTCTTTATTGTAAATGACCAATACTCCAGAAGGAGATACGGAACAATAAAGTACTATCTTATATTATATTATAATATATATATATATCTTATCTTATATCTTATCTTATATTAAATCAAAACAATGTAAATGGTAAGGGTGGGTCCACGGAAATATGATAACAACTTTTGTTGATAATTTTGAGAAATATTTGCTGAAATACAGTTTTGTCATTGCTACTTTCAGGTGATCCAGATATTCCTGCCATATACTATACAGCTCTACTCAAACTCATTCCCTGGCGATGACCCAAATGATTGTCCACGAGATATTAAAAAAGAAGAGTAAGTTTCGTGTTATTGTTTGTTTTCACCCATGTGATTGGATTTCCCTCAAAGGATACTCATATATGTTTTGACTCTATGTCTTGGAGCATTCTTAAAATCTTAATGAAAAAAATTCAAAAAGAATCTTGATGTCATTATTAGAAACCAATAGATTAAATTCACTTATAATCCCAATGAACGAAGTTTAGATGAGATATAGTGAGGCTCTCAGACAGTCCGACCAATAACATTTTCAAGCTGGACTGAATGAAGATGACATGAACAGCATATAAACAAGACATCCGTCTGGTCAGCGGGTAACTCGACATATTGTTTGTTTGGATTTGCCACCCTGTAGAGTTGTCATTTTCGATTTTTATTTTATTTGAGATTTAAACTTGAAAAATACACTTCATAATCAAATAATCAGGCCTCGAAATTAGCGTTGCGAAGGTAGCGATTCGCTACCTGTTTTCCCAGAACACTACTTGTCATTTCCTCCAATTAGCTAACTTCGCTAGTTCCAGACAGCCAGACCCGAAGATTCGGTAAGAAAAAAGATCGAAAATCTGAGAAATGAAGTGAGCGATAATAGAGTACTCACACTAAAACGTGATAAAAATGACACATGTCTTTATTCGATGCATCCTCCCAATAAATATGTATCAGTGGGTCCTTTTCACACAATTCTAAACTAATATTATCTCAAAATAGGCTGAAATTGTAATTACTCACAAATATAAGTAGTTTTAATATGGAAATATATTTTGAAACAATGTTAAAGTAACATATACATATATATGACATGTACAGTAAAAGGGTGGTTATACCACGAACTCTCAAAGCGGTTATTTATGAAACCAAATAACGACAAGTAATGGTTACTCACTATTTCTACTTGTCTGTGACGCTGGTTACCCAAACTATCTGAGATCCTTACTTAACCTTGTGGTACCACTAAATCAACTGAGTGATCCTAACAACTCACAGTGATAGCCTATACTACCTACTGGCTGTGGAAACACGGTGTCTTCATCTGAATTAACTAACTCACTAACTCTTTGTCCTGGCTCACAGCGAATCCCTATACTACCTACTGGCTGTGGAAACACTGTGTTTTCATCTGAATTAGCTAACTCACTAACTCTTCGTTCTACAAGTCCTAACACTTAACTATATTCTAATAACTCATGAACTAACATTAACCTATAACGGTTACATACTTAAAATATTGTTCTAACAACTTCCCTATGCTATGAATGCATAGATACTACTTAGTGGTAAGTTTTCAGTTATAATATCTCATTTGGACATAATGACCCATACAAATGTGCATATATCAGACAGAATGTTGCTGATTCAATGATAATAATCAGTCAATGTATACTGGGACACCCTGTAATAGTATTAGCGATATTCTAATGTTTGCTGGTAACGGTAACTCTTATCGTCGCTCCGGTACAATGAAGGCTTTGTTTTGCTCAACTACTAAACTCAGCACAATCCTTCTATATAACATATAATCGACTACTCAATCTGGCCTTCTGTGCAAGTGATCAAGGTTTATTGTACCACACTATAATAACTCCAATATGTCAATCATTGAATGATATGCCATCATAATGATCACGGTATAATGTTACACTCTATAATGATATTGTGCTGGTATCTTAGGCTCCTATATGGTCGCTCTGGTTCATATTCTGTCTGGTTCTTATTGTAATTGTTGATCACAGCAAATTGTGACATACTATTATTCTAACGCCAATCTATTAATGCTATAACACCATAATAGTCAATGTATATGGGAATACTCTGTATCGATAATCACTGATACTCATTCTAGTCTCCAGTTCACGTGTAAATACTGAACACTGTTAATACACACTATGACTACTGCTGAAGCACTATAACTACTAGTGCCAATCAATTAATCTTATAACACCCTAATAGTCAATGTATATGGGGATACTCTGTACCGATATCTTTCTATAAATCACCAATACTCATTCGGGAGTTGAGTTCACGTGTGAATACTGGACACTGTTAATACACACTTTGATTATTACACTAGGCAAATCAGTTAATGTTACAAAACTACATCTACAAGCAACACTGATCACATGCTATAAATCGTGCAATTTGTTGCGTATCTCAAGGTATAGCTGCTATATTCTGTAAAACAAACCACCACCACAAGCGTTAGTATAAGGCCACTGGGAAGACTAATCTACTATACTCTATACCTGAAAACACATAAAAATATACCATATTACATTCCTCCCTTCCTTGACCTACACTAACCCAAGAATTTATTTGTGCTTAGTACAGCTGCGTTTACTACCTGCCGGCAAAATGTTTTTATTGCTGACTTCACAATGGTGTTTCGGAAAATTCACGGTATATTGGGATTCACCATATGGCAGTTCCTGTTCTTCATCCCAAAACTGTTCCTCATCATCTTGGGACAACTCATGAAAGTTAGATTCTGAAGAAGTATCATCTTCCTCCCCAGATAGATCATCTTCCTCACCAGAGAGATGATCGGTAACTGGGACAGTCTCTTGTTCTCCATCTTCATGGTTATTTCTGTTATTGATAATAGCATCATCTTCCAATTCCTCATCTGAACTGGAATTGTCAATTTCACTATCTGACCCATGCAAATGAATGGGCAACCCCTCGGCTTTCCCATCTTGTATAGGTTTTTCAATATCAGCTTGACTGGTATTGAAGATTCTTCGACTGATAAACTTCTTCAGCCTATCATAATTCACATGGATCACTTTGTTGCCTAAGTCCACCTTATATGTGACATCAGATGTGCGCTTTAAGATCTTAAATGGCCCCTTCCATGGATTATGAAGCTTCCCATCTTTTCCACGTGCAGTTGGGTCAAACAGCATGACTTTGTCACCATGTTCATATTTCTGGAACGTTCCTTTGAGATCCTTATCATATTGAGCCTTTTGTCGCTTCTGAGATTTACTGATGTTGTCTTGAGCCAAGTTAAATACCTTCCTCATATCCCTCTGAAGAGTAGCCACCCAAGATTGTGCAGAGACCCTTTCAATTGGGTAAGCTTCACCAACCATCCAGTCTATGGGTAAATGAGCTTCTCTGCCAAAGGTCAGCATGAAGGGCGAAAACCCGGTAGTACTATGAACACTTGTTCTGTATGCAAAGAGGACTAAAGGTAGCTTTAGATCCCAATCACGGTTTTCCTTTGCAAATATGGAGAGAGAGTTTATCAACATTTTATTATTCCTCTCTATCATGCCATCTGTCTTTGGATGATATGAAGTGGTCCGTCTTTTCTTGGTTTCAAGTACCCTGCATAGCTCTTTAAACAGTCTACTTTCGAATTGAGACCCCTGGTCTGAATTTATACTGACTGGACAACCAAACCTTGATATCCATTCCCGAACCAGTAGTGACGCTGTTCTCTCAGTTTTGATGTCTTTCATGGGATAGGCTTCAACCCATTTAGTCAGGTAATCACCCACCACCATGGCATATTTATTACCCCGTGACGTGGGTGGTAATTCGACAAAGTCCATGGCAATTTCCTCAAATGGTCTCCCCTTCACCGGAATACAAGTTAGTGGCGCTTTTGGTTTGGTTTTCGGGGACTTTCTTTGTTGACACTCAACACAGCTTGAACACCAATCCTCAACATCTTGTTGAAATCCTGGCCAATAGTACCTAAGTCTGATACGTGCTGAAGTTCGGTCTGTTCCGAAATGGCCTGACAAAATATTATCATGAAGTTCACCTAATGCAAATTCTCTCCAAGATTTAGGAAGGACTATTTGCATTATACTTGGTAATCCATTTTCTCTCTCAACTTCTCTATATAAGACCCCTCTGTATAACTTTAGATTCTTCTTCTGCTTATAAATCCACCTTGAAGTTCTTGATGCTTGACTTAGTTGTTCTTGACTTGGCTCTCCCCTTCTCAACCACTTTAATACCTGCCCGATATCAGGGTCCTCCTTCTGGTCCTCCTTAAGAGTATCCATATTAAGGAAGGGGGCCTTTTGATCATCAGCAAAACCATCATTCTGACCTTGTGCATGGTTTTCATTGTTCTGGTCCTCAGCTAGTTCGGGGAGTGCATCCTTTAGTGAAGTTTGTTGGCTCTCGCTGATCAACTTATCTGTTACATCTGGAGATAACTTTGGGTGATCTTCCAGAAGTTGTTCCTTGAGTGATGTAGCCCTCTGCCATGTATTCACATTTTGGTGATCAGGTATTGGCTTACTAGGGCACAACTTCAATTGCTGTGGTGCTAGATCATTTAGTTCCCTCTGTCCCTGCTTAGCAACATCAAGTGTGGTGCATTTATTTATCTGTGCTGGTTCCCCAACTTGTATTCCAACTGATTTGCTCATTGTCTTGGATTCTGATTCATCTTCTAATCTTGAGAGGAAATCTGCATTTGCATGCTCACTTCCTTTACGATAGACAATGGTATATGGAAATTCTTCCAGCAACATGAGCCAACGTGCCCAACGGCCCTTAGGTTCCTTGATATTCCTAAGCCAAACCAGAGGATTGTGGTCGGTCCTCAGAATAAATGGTTTGCCATATAAGAATTGACGGAACTGGTTCACAGCATAAATGATGGCTAGACATTCACGTTCTGTAGTCGAATAGTTCCTTTGCTCCTTGGTCAGAGTCGAGCTTGCAAAGGCAACTGGCCTTTCATGACCTTTGTCATCTTGCTGTGATAAACAAGCCCCCACTGAGTTGGCTGAGGCATCAGTGTCTACCAGAAAATCCCTATCAAAACAGGGGTATGCCATCACCTGATAAGATGCAAGTGTTTTCTTCAGAGTCTCCACTGCTTGGAGTTGATCTGCATTAAGTGTCAGTAACTTAGTTTTATGGAGTCTGCTGTTTTTAATGCTGTCATATAAAGGTTTAGCAGTGTCTGCCATTCCTTTTATGAACCTCCGGTAGTAGTTCAATTTCCCTAAGAACCGCAACATCTGTTCTATCGTCTTCGGAGTTGG